ATATCATTTCATCTATCTATCGATCTAGTCTTCCCACCTATCTAGATATCTGTTACTTCTTCTCCTTTTGCCTTCTATCTCCCAGAGGAGCATAGGCCCTCAACCAACTCACGCCAAGTCATTCTATACTTCGCTATTGAATGTAGCTCTTTCCATGTCCTCCTCATCTTTTAAACTTCATGCTCTAGCTCCCTTCTCCATGTGTGTTTTGGTCTGCTTTATTTATATGCCCTTTGGGTTTCAGTGTGGAGACATTCTAGTTATATTGTTCTCAGGTTTTCTCAACATGTGTTCAATGTCCGTGTCTTTTCTTCACCTCTTGGTCTGGTAATCTGGTAATCTTAGTTTCACCTTCATAGCAAACGGGTCACCCCATAGTTGCTTTGTTCCTTGCCAATGAAAAACACACAGAATGTCTATCATAGTCCCTTGTGGAAAGATTGACAGACTGCTTTGTCAGCACATAAACTAGCATACACACCCATTAAAAGCATACAGTAGCCATCCGAAGTGTTAACACAAACAGTCCGACATTAAAAATGCAGTTCACCATGAATGGTAGCAGAAGTCACCAACAGATCAGATGTAGCACATGCGATAAATTTTAATCGCATACATTGGGGCAACAGGCATCGTGCCATTTTCTGAATCTACAATTCACACCACCACGTTGGTCACAGTAGAAAAACATTCCAAATGAAATCAGCCATGGAAAGGTCACGCCATGCACTCAACTCAGAAGCTGGGTGACAAAACTATCCTTTCAGTCTACAAATGGAGCAAAAATGCACAAGCTATGATCTGGCAGAAGCAAAATGATTTGCCACAGCTCAAAACAGTGACCGTGCCTAGCGTCCATTTTGACCGGAAGTAGTGAGGGTTTATTAATGGTAACCCCAGTGGTGCCCTCGTGCTGGAAAAGGGGCCAGAGTCATAACGCCCATAAGCAAGGTGTCGTCCCTGTACGACCTGACTGCCTTCATTAGCGATTGTGTACCCCACAACAATGCAGTTTTTTGGTACGAAGGAGACACCTTAAACTTGGGTTCTGGACTACCGACTCTCTACATGCTCACATGCGTGTGTTAATGGTGTATAAAAGTTAGCATGTTTCTCTCATATACCATTAGCCTTATGTTCCAGCATACATTTATAAATAAAATACTATTGTCATGCATATATGCATACATACACTTAAACATAATAGTAATAGTTGTGACAACAATTAATAATAATTAACACCCCGCAAGCACTCACACATCGAAGTAGAGAGGGAAAGAGAGGTACATGTACACATAAGGAATAAACTGAGAGAGATAAAGAAGAGGAGGAGAAAGAGAGAGATCACTAAATGACTAATTCCTCCAGGAGGAAAATGTTTATCAATGCTTCTGTACAGTAATCCAGAAGTATTTGGTGTAGGGCATCAAAGGGTCAATGTTTTTATCTTGAGGCCCCGAACAGATGCTGTCTTGTACAGAAAATGTAAGAGACAAGTCCGAATGTCGTTGGTTCGTTAAATGTACTCATGTCTTTCTCCTATCCTTAAACTGTTGTGTGTTGGGCTCCTAGTGGGTCCAGAAAATAAACTTGTTCCTGAGTTGAGCTGAGTCAAGAAGTGACATAACAGCACTCGGGGCATTCACATGTATGCTCCGTCCTCATCTTCAGCAGCCAGCCCAGAGTTCCAATACTGATGGTACCGGTCACAATCTGGTTAAAAGTTCGTCTTGCCTTTCCTCTGAGTGTAGTGAGCCGGCCAGACCCTCTGGGTATACCCAGGTGCCTCATTCTCTCCAGGCCATAATAATCTTCTTTCTCTACTGATTCTGCTGCTTGTTCCCAAGGGCCTTGACCACATCTGCCTTGTCACGTATCAATTCCCCACCCAGTAGTGTGAATCCAGCCAATCTGTCTCCCTGTTCATTACCCACCACGCCGGCATGGCCTGGAGAAAATATCCGAAGTATGCTCACCACCCGTGACCTTTCAAGTGAAGCTAGCCACTCTGCTCGAAGTATGTCTGTCTTCACCTTTTTCAGCATGCTATCAGAGTCTATTACAATTACAACACGTGTATGCATCTTGTTCTCTAGCCACCAGAGATTTGCAGATATCGCCTCCACCTCCATTCTCATTATAGATGTTGTGGTGTCATATGCTAGGCTGTCTTGCACTAAAGATTTTCCATTGGATTTCGCTATGAACCCGGAGGCTGAGGTATGACTTAGCCTGCAGCTCTTTTAGCCTATCTGCAATAGTCGGCAATGCAAGGGTGTATCACATGCACACAATTCTGATGTCTCTAGTACAACCCAGGATCAGTCGCATAGCTTCATTCTGTATGCGCTCCAGTTTCTCTAGCTGACTCTTTGAGACAGTGAGTAACCCCAATCCATAATCAATCAATAGATGATTATGTGCTGGTAAAATTTATTTATTAACTGTTCTAAACTGCTCTACTGTCGATGTTTCTATTTCACAGGTAAGCTAACTGAGCTACATCTTGGTCTACTGGAACTTGGTTAGTTCTTTCCCAAAGCCAACATTGATGATTCTCATCATCATCATCATCATAAACCACTTCTGTTGTTAAGCGTCGTGGGGAGGAATAATTTGCGATCCAGTGCACATTGGCTGCCACTGGCTATTGTCATGCTGTGAAGGCGAAGAATGTCTTTATTGTTGTCGATCCATGTTTTCCGCTGCCGTCCTCTTGCTCTTGTAGCTGATCTTCTGAGATGGAGTGCTTGTGATGGTATTTGATCTTGCTGCATTCTAACAAGATGGCCAAACCACTTGATCTGCTGTTTCTCAATGAATCTAGTACAAGGTGTCGTTCCCACAATTTGCCTGATAGTTTCATTATTCACTCAATCTCGTATGGTTAGGTTGGCTGCTTTTCTCAGGCACCTCATCTCGCAGGTGGTGACTGTGCGTATATGGGCTTTAGATAGTGTCCATGTTTGGCACTGGTCGCTTAATGTTGGAATGAATAAGCTATTAATAATCTGTCTCATTGCACTCATAGTTATGCTTGGATGTCTTAATAATGGTGATCGTATGCTTTTTTTTCTCAAATTTTTCCATAATTCTTAAGTAATTTGCCGTGAACAAATAGATTCCCTACCGGTTTGATGGACCTGTCGCAAGATCATCCTTATTTGAACACACTGATGATTAAAAACACACAAAAACCCACTTTTTTGTCCCACAGAATGTTAACCGACTTTCGTTTACTCTGCCATCTTAATAAATTATTATATTATTACGTATTATACTGTCCTACCATTTCTTGAACTACCTCACAATCCTTCATGTCTACTAGGTTACTGAACATCTGGCTTTTGTTCTCACACAACACATCAGACATTTCTTGCTTCACAAATTCTGCATAAACCTCTTGCTTGAAGATGGATGGAACTGGTGATTCTATCACCCTATTTAATTCCCTCCATTCTGCACAGGCACCAGTTAATGAACATTTGTAGTTTATTATTAATTGCCTCTGTTGTTCTCCATGTTTCTGCTCCATACAAAAGTATTGATTTGAAATCCAAATTAAACATTTTAAGTTTAGTATTAGTTTTAATTTCTTCTAACCTCTAGTGCTATGAAAGCTCTGATTATCTTTTGTATTCGTATTTTAATATCTCTATGAGTTTTCCCATCTTTATGTATGTTACTGCCCAAAACGGTGTACGACTTCACATCTTGGAGTGGGATACCATTAAGAGATACAACATTACTATTTGTCTGATTTAATTATTATTTTTGTCCCTCCTTTACAGACTTTTAGACTTAACTGTTGTGATTCCACATCAAGTATTTTTATTTTATCTTGCATTAATTTATCTTGCATCTGATTCCACGAGTGGGAAAGAAGAGAAATATTATCATCTGTTTTGTAGGGATCATCTGTTTCGTAGAGGTCCACTGAATTCCATTCCTGGTGTTAGCAGTTGTTGTCTTCATAATCCAGTGCACTGCTAGTAAAAATAGTAGATGCGATAAAAGATATCCCTGTCACAGGCAAACCTGATCTTTTTTTTCCACATTATCTGTTAGCTTTCCCTTAGGACACTTCATGTCTTTTTATGTTGTTTTTACGTAGTTAATAATTTTCTGTGGGATCCCGTAAGTAAATTAATTTACGGTTATCTGATATCCGTTACTACTCTTTATATAATGATTATAGTATGCTGAAAACTTTAATATAAAGATCAATCCTTTCAACAAACTAAGGATAATAAATGCAATGGATACACTTTGTAAAAAGTAAAACTGCAATATTATCTGTATTTATCACTTTTTTAATGATGGTGTAGATAAAGGGGATCTTGAGTCTGTAAGAGTCCTCTTGTTACACAGCTTGAAATTTACAATGTTGTCCTTATCTTCTATTGCTCCTAACTCCTTTTATGAGCTGGAGGCAATCTCTTCACTTGCTGCTCCTTTTTTTATGATTTATGATGGCCCCCAAAAGAACCACCTACCTACAGGCAGCAATAATCATTTTTTTTAAATGGCCCCTAGCAATGCTTTTTGTCACTCATGGTCATATTTATTTTCATATTTAAGACTTTACATGTATTTCTCAATATGGTCTATCCTAATTTAAAAATAGGGGCAGAAAAAAGTAGGTATTTACTTTCAGGATCTCCTATTAATCTCCAAAGAGTGATAAGTTCCACAATCTGAGAGACCAATATGAGATTAAAGGCAGTGTCTGCATCCCTGTCATCCATGCAAGTTTGTCAGTATATATGCAGACACATTTTGATTCCACCAAAGCCTGCCTTTTCCCCTGGATATTATTATTCATAGGTGTGTGCATTGACATTTCCACACATAAGGACTCCGTTATAGGCAGCTGTTTGATCTTCCTCAGCCAATCTCTCGTTCCTGGTGAAACTTTCCTATCTTAGTCTGTATTCTCTGAAGCTCCTTATTACTCTCTAAATATTTAATCTAACATTTAAAACAGTGCTTATATTTACCTTTTGGTAAAAATGTTGAATTTTGATTTCAGCAACAACATTTTAATAACATCTCTGGCAAGGAAGTCAGGTAATCCACTCTGAAAAATTTCAAATTAAATAATTTCTTACAATTTAACAACATTTTTTTAGCAGTGTATAACTAGTAACACATATATGCGTTGCATAAGTTATTAAAAAACAAAAACACATTCTGGCATGCTTTCTCGCAGGGTGATTTTGTTATAATTGTCTGCATGATGAAAAGATTGTGCAGGAAGCACAAGTACCTAAAGAAGCAGACAGTAAATTTTGAAACCAAGGGCAGTAATCAAAGGGAATCAGGAACCAGAATCCCAGACAGTGCAGTCAGAATTAAGTTACCTGTATTGGGCTATGACATTGTAATCACTTAAATAGAAAATGATACATAATGTCATATAAAGTATCATTTTGTTAAAAAAGGGGGGGGGGAGGATGTGAAGAGGTGCCTTGCATGGTTTCCACGCGTACACTGTGGCAAGCAGAAAGTCCGTGCTACAAGCAACAGCACAAGATAATTGGGGCTGGTTGAGTAAGCAAGGGGAAGCCCGAGCTGGACTCATTGTCAGTTGCTTACCAGAAGTCGTAAAAGACAGCTGTGTTAATAGAAGATGTAGTTTTAATGTCTTGAAAATGATTTGTGGGTGTCTGAATAATTGTCGGAACAGTGTGGAAGAATGTTATCAAATAAACTGACAGAAATGTATAAAGGAACTGAGAGCCGTTTGTGTTATGAATTCTAGACGTTAGAGCAGTGCAAGTAGCTATGTTGCAGTAATCATTTAAAGCTGAATAGTGGCGAAGCAGATATGACGTAAGCCAATGTTCCTCACAATCTGAAACCTATCAAAGAATTCACCATGGAAACGGCTGTTTATGTCAAAGGAAAGTGTATGAATGGATAAAGAGATTTTACAATGGAAGGGATATTATCAGTGATGAAAAGAAAAGCAGGAGACCTGTTAGTGTGGCAAGTGAGACAGTGAAACAGCAGATAAAGAAGCAAATCAGCAATAGCAGACTGGTCACTATTGATGAAACTGCTGCAGAATTTCACATGAGTCATGGTCATCATCATGTAGCAGGTCCTTTGCAGAACGTCGCTCTCATCATTGTCTGCCTGAAAGAAACTCAGTCTCTCGCCAGTTCTCCTGCCTCATGAACTTTTACACTCAAGGAGTCACTTATATCATGTGCCCATCTTCGTGTTGGTCGGCCCCTGCCCCTCCTTCCTGGTACTATGCCCTCTGCTATAATTTGTTCCAATCCGTCGTGGTGCTTGATATGACCAAAATATTTCAGCTTTCGTGAAAGGATGCTGTTTATTAGCCAATCTTCCTTGATGTTCAGATCTTTTAAGATGTCAATATTTCTCATCTTTTTTTGTCCAAGATATTCTGAGAATCTTTCTATAGCATTTCAGCTGAAAAGCCCCTATTCTCTTTCTTGAGGACTGAGAGATAGTCCACGACTCACATCCATATGTAGCCACAGGGAAGATGCATGCTCTCAAAATTCTAATTTTGATCTCCTTGCTGGTGCTTAACCATAGACTTTTAAGGCTGTTCAGTCTCTGCATTGTATGGCCATGAGTCATGGTGCTGCACAAACATTTTTTTTAATGACTACAGAAATAGAAAAGTATGTAGCACATGGGTTCCAAGGCAGCTCTCTCTGATCAACAAAAGCATATTTGACAACTAAATAATGATGAAAGACATCCTCTGCATGGCAATCTTCAAGATTTTAGAAGAGACCGATTAAAAATAGAAAAGTCATGGATGCCACTAGTTGAAGATACCATCAAGCTGGTTGCCTCAGACAAACAAATACACAGGGGAAAGGAATTGGTCAACCGGAATACACACAATCAGGTCATTTTGATATTAGGAAGATAATGTACAGAGTGGTTTAAATGTGTGGCAGATTTAGAGGTACAACAACTGACAGATGAAAATGCTAGGCTAAATGATACAATAATGTATACTGATGGTTCTATTCATCAGGGTGAAAGATCTGGCTATCTGAGGAGAATGAGAAGAATATCATCAAGGTATAGAAAAAGAAATGAAGCAGTCCTCATTTGGAAATATTAAAGTTGTAAACTCAGAACAATTAGATATAGACAGTCATTGTTTTATGTACATGTTATGGGAAGGAATGGACTCAAGAACTTAGTAACAACTGGCAAGATTGATGAAAAGAGCAAGAGAAAGGCCAAAATAAAATACTTGGAGGGCTTGACCAGATGGAGACGTGAGATCAAAACATTTTCCCGACATACAATTTTGGTAGTCATAGGAGATGGTGAAACATGACATCCTACACTTACAAGCACTGCAAATGATGGTGATGATGATGATGACTACGGTCTGGGACTTCTCATCGTCAGCAGAACCAAGCTAGAAAGATTGGAATGAGTACACAACTGGGCTATGAGACTATGGCTGCACAAAAGAATCTTTATGCCATGATATGCGGCATGGCCTGGGTTTACTAATGATAGCCACCAGACAAAAAAACCAAGGCGTACTTGAAGGTATCAGGAGATACCATTAACTCACTGCACAGTGCTATTGAAGACATAAAATGTAGTGCATCTAAAAAAAAGAGGCTATTCATGGATGGTCGAGGCTGAAAATGTAATCAAGCAGGTACGTGATCTGGACTGCTCAGACCTTGCAAAGAATGGGCAGAGACACTGTCATGCTAAAGTTATTCATGAGGTAATAGTTCCTAATGATGGTACTTGTTGTTCTATTTATTACTTTATTCTGATTTTGTTTACTGATCATCATCATTCTTTTACGCCATTAAATGTCTCAAAGAGCCTGATTAAATTCTTCCTCTCTGCTCTTCTAAATGCAACTTTCTGACATGGAGTTCAGCCAAGCAATTTTAGCCTCTCGTAATAATGTTTCTCTTGTATGTCCTCTCTTTCTCAGACCAATTGTTTCCTATTTCAGTGCTTGTTCTGTAATTAATTGCTTATTTAGTCTCAGAATGTGCCCAATATATCTCCACCTTTTTTTTTTTTTGTCTTACTGCAGTTGACACAGGTATTTGTCCAGATATTCTTTTTATCTCCTCACTCTTTTTGGTTTTTTTTTTTTATTTATCCTTTTATATGTTCATGATTTTTCTCAGATATTTATTTTCAGTTGCATTTGTTTTTATTCCATATCTCTGGTAGTTCTCCAGCTTTCGCTGGCAAATGTTAGAAGTGAAATGAGGTTAGAACTAAAGATTTGTAGTTTAGCCCTAATGCTGCATAACTTGGAGCTCCATGTTTTGTTATAAGGCTTTTAATGACTGTTGTTGCTTTGCTGACAGGTATCATAATTTCCTTAGTTGTATCTCCTTGAGAGTCAAAATTGCTACTCAAATAGGTAAAATAGTCCGTTACTTTTATTGGTTTGTTCTCTAGCACGACATGTACATAATTCGTTGTTTGTACCTTGAATATACTTGTTTTCTCATAACTTGTTTGTAATCCTATTTTTAATGCTGCAGAGGACAAAATGTCGGTTTTTCTTTGCATGTCTTTGTTATTTTTACTTAACTGAACAAAACATCTGTGAAATCCCAACCTTCCAGTTGTCTATTCTCAACCCATTTGTGACGACCTTCCTGGTGACTTCATAACGCATTTTCTCCCAAATTAATTTTTGTCAATGGGCTGTAACTGCTCATGGGCTGTAACTTAAATGCAGGTCGACCAGAACAAAGCTATTTCATTTTCTTTGGACTGCAGCTGATATTAAACACTCAGACTCTTGCCCAGAGGTAAGGTGTCGAGCAAACAGATAGACTTAGTTGCACCAGTGAAGTAGAAAGTACAGACCACCTAACCTTGGTTTTCTTGGTAATCTTAGTTTCAGCCTCATTGCAAATGGGTCACCCCATAGTTGCTCCGCTCCTGTGCCAACGAAAAACGCACAGAATGTTCATCACAGTCCTTTGATGAAAAATTAACAGACTGATGTTTCAGCATATGCACTAGCATCACACGCATTAAAAGCATTCAGTAGCCATCAGAAGTGCTAACACAAACAGTTTGACATTAGAAATGCAGTTCATCATCGACGATAGCAGAAGTTATCAACATACACAAGGTCTATACATAAAAATGAATGATTCTGTGCAAAATTATTTTGATTACAATCTTTTTAAAAAAAACGGATTTTCAACTCAGTAGTTAAAAAAAAAAAAAAAATTATCAGTGTGTGGGTTCTGACAAACGTTAACATTATTTCAGAAGGATTAGATCAAATCTTAGTGTCGAGTTATTACAGTAAGTTTTTAATGGTTTGACTGTATAGCTATTCTTGGAGAAAGGAAAAATATATCTTCAAGCATGGATAACACCCAAAACCTTCAACAAAATACAGAAAAAGCTAAATTAAACAACAGCAAAACCAAAGCGCTAAAGCCAAAGCTCATTAAAAAGACACAGAAGCCAATAATAAAACTTATATTTGGATAAAGGTGGGTAAAAAAACTTGATGACATTAGTGAAGTGGCAGAGGTCTCTAAGACAATGAAAGGAAATTTGAGAGACTTACAGAATCACAAGGAAGTTATTTGAAAAAAAATAATCAACCAAGTGGACTGTTTAAAAAAGTAAGGGAAAGGTTTTACTAACATTATAGATGAAACAAAGAATGGATAGAATACTTTAAAGAGCTTCCTAATATACCTGCCCTAAAAAAATTATCTAAATATCTAGTCTGCAAAAGTCAAAATGAATATCAACTGTGAGATAGCATCTTCAAGTTCAAAATTAGAAAAGCTGTAAATTTCCAATAGAATACAAAAGCTGCTGGTGCATACAATATTGCAGTTGCAGCTATTAAAAAAAAAAAAGTAAAGGACCCTTTTTTTTTTTTTTTACACCATTAGGCGTATAGGGCATATAGGGCTAGACCTATATTTTTATAGAACAATCGGCACAAGATGGGTGATGTGGTCAGCATCACGCCGGCCGCCTCTACTTTCCCGGTACTGCACCCGGTACCCACTCAAGGCTAGGTCAAAGCTATTAAAGTTCAAATAAATATGTGAACAAAATTACTGCATGTATGTTTCACAACTAATTTTACCAGGTATTTTGAATAGTCTGTTGTATGCCTCAAATTAAATCTTAGTTTCAGCCTCATAGCAAACCGGTCACCCCATAGTTGCTCCGCTCTTGTGCCAATGAAAAACACACAGAATGTTCTTCACAGTCCCTTGACAGACTGCTGTCTCAGCATATGCACTAGCATGTGTGTGTGTTGTCCATCATGATGATGATGACTATTTTTATTCATCAAGTATGAATCCGAAGATGACTATGAGGCTGATGCGGGCCTAAACAGTTCTTGGACAGTGAGGACAGGGAATGAGCGTTGCGCCGGGATTGGGGGGGGGGGACGACGACTTCAAGGTCCTTCAAGTGTTTTTTGTTGTTGCCCGCCTTGGGAATGTTTCCCATTTTGCAGCTCACTATAGAAGAGTTTTTTTGGGAGCCTGTGATCTGGCATGCGTGCCACATGACCAGCCCAACAAATCTGATACTGCATCAGTAGAGTGTGGATGCTGGGCATGGCTGCTTTCTCAAGGACTATGGTATCAGATACTTTGTCTTGCCATCTGATCTGCATTAGTTTTCTAAGACAGACTGTGTGAAAGTGGTTTAACTTTCTAGATGTCACTGGTATACAGTGCATGTTTCACATACAACTGCTCTGTATATTTTAAGCTTTGTCTGCAGGGTTATGCCACTTCTGTTCCAAACATTATTGTACAATCTGCTGACATGAAAATCTGTATGCACTAGCATACACATACATTCAAAGCATACGGTAGCCATCAGAAGGGCTAACACAAACAGTCTGACATTAGAAATGCAGTTTATCATCAATGGTAGCAGAAGTTAGCAACAGATGAGCAGTTGCCCACGTGATAAATTTTAATCACATAAGGGCACCACCAATATTGCAATGACAGGCCACTCACCATTTTATGAAATTACAATTCACAACACCATGTTAGTCACAGTCCAAAATCATTCCAAATGAAATCTACAGCTCACAGTGTCGTGCTAGGCACTCAACTCAGTAGCTGGGTGATGAAACTATATCTTTTCAGTCTACAAATGGAGCAGAGATGCAACGGCCGCCATCTGGCAGAAGCAAAAAATGTGCCACGACTCAAAACAGTGATCGTGCTTAGCGTCCATTTTGACCAGAAGTATACCTAACCTAGCCTGAGGTAATTATCTTGAAGCCAGACCCTTAGGGGCAGGCAACTGGTCATAAAAGTAATTATCTACCCCTGAGATTATCTTTGATTTTTTGTCCTGTTCACGTTTCCAAGCCCACTTACACACGGTCTGATCTTTCCTTGGTGCTTTCTCTGACTCTTCTACATCAGAAGGGTGTCACTGTCTCCGGTTGTATGTCTGGCAACTGACCTGATATCTATAAATGGCACTAGCCTCCACAAATTGCAACCCCCTCGTGCAGTCTCAATGTTCGTCACATAAGAGAGTGTAGCATATGACCCTGATGGGTGGTTTAAGAGCTATGAACTTTTTTTTAGTGGTTGGCCCTAAACAGGGACTTGGGCGGTCCTCACAGGAGCCGTGTAGTAGTGGGTCCTAACAAGGACCGACACTCAGGAGGGATACATTTTACACTGTCTACTGACACAAAAGTCGATAAGCCTTCACTTTCGTAGTGTTAGTATATCTAGAGATGTCATCAAAACGACATGACTAGCTAAATGCAAAAAAGCATTTATTCGGTAGCCATCTAAATGACCGGCCAATCATTACTATTGTGGTGGTGGCCAGAAGAGAACAATGTCCACTAGAATAGCTGTGAAATGTCTTTGCTGGCACATTTAGTGCATGTGCCCCATATGAACTCGCACAGGACAAGTCTACAAGAAGTCTGTCCATGCCATGCTGCCTCTTGTTTCTCTCTTTCACAGCTCCCCACAAGCGTCATATAAGTGTTCCCGACTTCCTCATACGCATGCCACTGGTCCAACATGACAGTTGTGCCAGGACGAACGCATGTCCTTAATAGGCACAAGTGTTCCTTATAATAGGCACAAGTGTCTCTATAGACAATGCAGAACATAAAACATTTGCCAGTCTCCCGACAAATGCCACCAAATACCCACTGCTTCTTGCGTCTTGTAAAGAATGCTCTCGTCGATTTCGACGATGGTAATTGGTCCTCTGATCACTAAAGGATTCATTAATAGTTTATAGGTGCAAAACTCCAGTAGGTAACTAGTCCAGGCAACAGTTGAATGTGACATCCCCAACTGTAACTGACAAAATGAAAGGCTCATCAACTCTTGATACCAGCACAATGAGGATTGAGTGACTGATTGATTGGTGTCCCTGTAGGTAACATTGAAACTGACAAGTAAATCTAAAACTAACCAGATCACAAAGTGCCACACTCATCCTCACCATCCCGAAGGGTAAGATTACATGAGGTGCAGATAAAATAATATATAGTATAGCAATAATTCATACTGTATCTATTCATAGGCTAAAGTAAAAGAGAAGCTACTATACGCATCACCTTTCCACATGTTTTAAAATACGGATGAACTTGGGATAAACACAGTACATAACCTACCTGACATACCTATACTGCCTCTTTTTGTGTGTGTGTGTGTGTGTGTGCACAAATGCATGTGTGTGTGTACAAGTGAGCACTTGTGTATACACACACACACATGGCTATCTATTATTAGCATAGGCATACCTAAAGCCAGGTATACTAGCACTGTAAATTAATCTCAAATTATCTTAACCCTACATGCACCAACTTCTATGCTAGCATCTATGAAAGGCACACATGGCATAATTATTACCATTTCTAAGATCTCAAATGCAGCCTGTACAGATCCACCGCCAAGATCAAAAATGGTCACTGTACTCTCATCGTGTGATTTCCACAACAAATCTAAAAAAATTAGGATAGGAACAATTAATATATTTCATACAAAACTTTGGTTAAAATCTAGGAGACTGAAGGAAGGAAAAAGATTTGAGACACAGTGAGAGAGATGGGAGTAAGCGAGAGAAAAAGAAAGAGAGGGGGAGGAAGTGAAAGAGGCATCAAGGAATGTACAAAGCAGAAAATAAATGATTCCCTCGTTTAACCCTCTGGAGATGACGAGGCCGAAAAGGTGGCCCAACGCAAAGTAGTCAAAAAGACAGCTGGGCTGATCAATCAGCCCTGTGTAATAAAAGCCTCGAGACTGGCTAGCAGGTTTTGGTACCAGCTTATCAAATTGCTTCTTGCATTTCTTGTGGGCTTACCTGTGCCCAACGATGGCAAAAAGGCCTGTTGCGTCACAGCAACTAAAACATAGCAGAAGGCAAGAAAATGAGAGCACAATGAGTAAGAAGTGTCTGAACGGCCTCCATGGGCCTTATTTTCCCAAAAACACAAGTCAGGCTTCATCCATAAAAAATTTCAGGAAAATGTTTCAGGTTAGTCATGTTTGATCCAAGTGTTTTTTTAAATGCCTGCATAAATTATGCAAATCATAGTAATTAATTTGAATCAATGTTGGGATTTCAGTTTGATTCATTCATATTCCGTTAGTTAATTCATTTTCCTCCTCAAATTTATATAGTTTTGTATATGTTTATTACGCACATTTTGATAATTTTGTGTGTGTAATCTAAGAGAATTCTTCCCTGAAGGCTTCGTCTTTTTAGCACTGAAAATCCAAAAAAGCTCTGTCTTCAAAGGGTAAAACATAGATACAAAGGAAATTAAGAAAAAAAGTTCCTAACTTTTGGACTAATACTTAATTTTTACTAAAATGGTTACATGTCTTAACCATTTGACACTGAGATGCCGCTTACCCAGCATTGCCATCCACTCATTCTGTATCATTTTAAGCCTCTCCATTTGCACATGGCTAAGAGTCAGAATTGCCAGACACTGAAAAGACCAAACCATGATATAAGAGGCAGAGGTGTCGCTGCTCAGTCTTCCACTGCCATCACCCTTACCATAGCTATGCTTTCGTTGTTTTCATTATTATTAAAGAAAACATAGAACATCTGTGCCACCACCACAATAAAGGCTGCAACAGTCTATCACTATTGTCTTTGGGAATAGTAAGTGATGAGGCACCCCAATCATTATCAAATAGACACGGTCTATTCGCTTAGTATATCGTTTGTTTGCTTGCTTGTTGTACCCCACTAGAACATCACACAAGCGATAAACACCAGGTGACACAAAGTGCCACCATGTGGATGAGGATAACCCATAGAAAGCTCCCAGAAACCCCTTTCAGCTGTTATGGCCACATTTGTGGCCCAGCTATATTCAGCGCCCCTGGCAAAAGCCTGGGTGGGGCTTCAAATAACGAAAATTGCATCCTACATGGGGATGACAGATTATAATTGTTAGTATATTGACAGATTTTAAACAAATATATGTATTTCATAGCATTCAAACTTGGTGCTGATAATACCTTTATTCTAAAACAAGTGACTAGTGCCCCCACTTCCCAAAAATACACCCTTACTCAGTTTAGATCCTGAAGATCTCCATAAATGTGTTCCCGACAATACGCCAAAATGTGGTTAGCACTGACATTGTTTCAGACCATCCTGTGATCTGCTCGCCTGTTATCCTTGTGGTGTATGTGTTAAATAGCAAGGAAGATAAGGGTGGATCATATGGCAAGCTAGAATGTTAAGGGCACAGAGGTTGAGCTGTCATATTTAATCAATACTGTTTCCTGGAAGAGTGCTGCAGAGATTCAGTTTAGGATGTGTAGACTGATATCAAGACTTTACATGAACTGACACCAATATTCAACATTCAACCTCAAATTATGATCCAATTAAAGGGGAGCAGACTTATCCCAAGACTTAATGTGAACTGACACCAGTGTTCATTCAACATTCAATCTCAATTTATGATCTACTTAAGGAGTAGACTTTCATCAAGACTTAATGTGAACCAACACCAGTGTTCAATATTCAACCTTAAATTCTGATCAAGTTAAGGAGGAGTAAACTTATATCAAGACTTAATGTGAACCGTCACTAGTGTTCGACACTGAACCTCGAATTATGATCCGCTTAACGAGTAAAGTTATAAATTATACTTAATATGAACTGACATCAATGTTCAACATTTAATCTCAAATTATGATCCAGTTAGGAAGGAGTAGACTTATATCAATACTTAATGTGAACTGAAACTGATGTGCAACATTCAACTTCGAAATATGATCCAATTTAAGAGAAGTAGGCTTATCTCAAGACTTAATGTGAACCAACACCAGTGTTCATCAACCTCAAATTATGATCCAGTTGAGGAGTAAAAAGTAAAGGACCCTTTTCCGAAACTTCAGGCATATCGGGTATTTATACCCAAATTTTCTAGATCAATCAGCAATCACTAAGGGGGATTTGGCCAACAATACGCTGGCCCCTTAACTTCCCAGGACTTTTATCGTAGTGGCACGAGGGATACATTCGGCGGTGGCGGTATAGTCGCTGGAAAGAGGTCCACAATTTACATATGACTGAGGCCTTGTTAGAGTATTTTCTTAGCCTCGATAATTTAAGACCCTCTGGAGGATAGCTGAAAAACCTTGATAAATTTCTTTGTCCTCACTAACCATTTTCATGCTCTAATTTGTACACATATATAAACATATGATCTATTTGATGACTGATTTAATGTTTATTTGATACTAGAACAATGAATTGGTATATCTGATTATTATAATTATATTTAATAATTGATAATTTATGTCCTCAGGTGATATCTTGGCCAGACCCAATATCTATCATGATGAGACGATTAATGAAGTAATCAGGTGTATATTCACTATACTTAATCCTTAATTGGTTTATTTAACCTCATGTTGATTTTAGTTTTATAAATTACTGTCTTACTTTAATTAAGATTTAGAGCAGTGAATTCTGAGACTAGTTTAAGAGATGGAAACGGAAATATCACGTGGTGGCTAAATTTATTGGATTCACAACTGTCGGAGAAGAAGAAGAGAGATGTATGGCCTGTGCTTGTAATAATTATTGTTATTTATAATTCCCCATTATTATAAATATATTTTCAGTACCATTGTGTGTGGCCCTATAATTTTAATAATTATATTTCATTCCTGCCAATTTATTTCGTCAAGTGAATAAAATTTAGTGAGAGTATTTATTCAAAGTTAAACTGGAGTTAATGATGCATATTTTATATTAATAATGTGACAGATAAAAAATCCCACTGTCATCTAGGATTTTTTTATGACATCTATCCCAGCACCCAGTTATATTGATTGGTAAATGAGCAATCCCAATTATTTTCAAACTGCCTAACTCACATGTTATGAGTTTCACACTTATGTAAATCCACTCCCTGATTCCCATACTTTGTGATGTGAAACCATGTGGTTGAAATGAGAATAGCTTGTTAAATGTGACTGTGTTTACACATGGTAACCCCTGAGAGGAGTACTAATGTAAAGAGAGCAGAACAATTTACAGTTAAAGGTTTTCTTTCTCAGTGCTTGGAAATATCCCAGAGAAACTGATGTGGATTGAATATTTCTTCCATCAGAAATATAAGTTCTGTTTAGTAAATGCCATTCTATACCCCACTAAAAAAACATGTTACTATCCTATGTCATATGTAGGTGTAGTGTGTAATTATATATGAGGACTGAAGGCAGTGTGGCCTTCGGTCCAAACTTTCCCAACTGCTTCAATAGGGACTGTTAAATTACTCTAGTTCAGGTGAAATTCCAGTGTCAGGTGTCAGATTGTCTAGACTAGACTAGAAGATTTAACCTGCCCTGAAGTGTCTCTGTGGATGAGCCAGAAGCTGACCTCAGGAGTACAAACTACAGATGAGCAGACATTTCAGTCCTATGTCAATCCGGGACCATTTCCATCTCCCCAGCCAGTCCAATGATTAGTTAGAATTTTCCAGATTAAATTTTATAGATGTTAATTATTCCAGTTTTGTGGAGTTCGTTTTAACCAAAATCATGTACACGTCAGTGAGCAATAGCTAGTATATTCCGATATACATAAATATACCATTTATATAACAGTAGGGAATCAAAAGTAAGCAAACCTTTAATCTTCTCTCTTAACCAGCAAGACTGAGAGATAGATCAGATCTTCTAGTATGTTTCAGTGTTTGAGATTCCTTCTGGGTACTGTCTACTTGTGAGGTTTGTCTTCCTACTTAGGCATTAGTAGTGAAGTCAACTTAAAACAATAGTATTTTCTATGTCAGTCATTATCTGTCCTGGACAGAACAGATGAAGAATTATGTTCTTTTATCTTCGGTAGAGAGCACATATGGTCGCTAGAACAAAGCAAATTCCATGCCCCATCTGGATAAGTAGAATTCCTTATAAGTGGAACAACTTCTTAAGGTCCCTGTGACTTCTACTCATCCAGACTCCACTGTAATAAGAATTACATAAATATTTCAAGAAATCCTTCCTCAGCACTTGGTAATCTATACCAACAGCCTCTTCTTATTATAGTCCATGCCATTTGGTGTTGGTAGTTATGTCTATCTTGTGTACGCTCAATGATTTCTAATTCATGTGAACTTCCAATCCATAATGTTAAACTCTCCAGCATTTTCTCCTTTCATCTCCCTCTCCCTCTTTTCACAATCAACTTTTCCAGGGTCATGGTGTACTTGTTTTCCTCTTCTCAGTTCATGAAGAAAGAATGTAAAGTCTCTTACTCATGAAGGTAATTAGTTCTGTTCATGAGGTAACTGTTATCAAGACATCTTTAATATAATTGTTATCTGTTGATTGCAATTATTCTATTTAAACCAACTGGCTGACTGTCCATGATTCCTTTCTTTATGTCTGGATCTGCATAGTTTATAAGAACTCTCTTTCTCACCTGAATTGACATAATAAAAAGTATAAAATATTCTTCACTGTGTGAAATGCTACTTTGCTTGAGCTATTCTATACTTGATTTCTTTAATACATTTTCCTTCTGCTGTTATCTAGGTACCAAAGTATTAACAGAAAGAAACTGCAGTCTGATGTTATTAGTTATGCAAAGAAGAATTATGTCTTTACACAAACAACAGCTTACGTAACAAAAAATTCACAGTGATCCAAGCAAACAATCCTATGGAAAAAAATTAAACAAGTAAACTCATTTTTGTTTGCTAATGAATTAATTTCATTATGTACACACACAACTAATATGGCTACATAAATAGGCAGCACAAATAAAAAAAATAAAAAAGACAAAAGCTTGACAAATGGAGAGTAACGGTAAAATTCATAAATTTTTTTTAATTCACCCTTACTGCTGGCACTATAAGGATTAATATACTTATCTTATCTTATTTTACCCCATCAGGACATCACACAAGCGATAAACACCTGATGACACAAAGTGTCACCATGTGGATGAAGATCACCTGTGGAGAGGTCCCAGAAACCGTGTTTAGCCATTAGACCATATTTATGACTGGGCTATATTGTGGCCCCTTGCAAGAGCCAGAGTAGGGCTTCAAATAACGAAAAATTGCAACCCACAAAGGGAAGATAACATAATAATGCTTTATTAATCTACTTCAATTGTTGTGCCCACTCAGAGTGTGACAGAAAGACAAAAACTGTACATACAAAGGTGTTGGATGCGAGCAGACCATGAGGCAGACCAAGAACATAGTTGAGAGATAATATTCAGGCAGACCTGCAAACACGAGGAGTCACCAACTGGAAAGAAAAGGCCAATCAAAGCGATGAATGGAGGTGGGTGACATCTCTGAAAATGAACTTAAAGGCTTTGGAATGCAGTTGAAGAATATAACAAAACCAGTAAAAATATTTATCAAGTTTTTTTCCTTGATGAAAATTGTACCCTGTTGCCAGAATTAAATTATGTCTACTTAGACTGCACTATATTAGAAATAATTCCCTGTGTATCCTCTGCTTATTATGATAACATAAATTAATGAAAGAAAGTTAGTACTGTATTGTATTAACTGTTGAATAATTATTGCTAATATATCCATGTGTCCCTGTAATTTATATATGGTGATGCTTGATATCTATTACACAGACAAAGAACAACATCACACCATCCACCAAAACAGGGAAAAACACTTCACAACAGGACTTATAAAATGAAAAATCAACAGACAGAGATGATCATCTATTGGCACTTGACAATTATGGTGGGATCTGTAAATTAAAAAAAACTGAATGATAACAAATTCTTTAATAAGGAAAGTCTCACAAAAGTTACCCTCATTTTCACCACTCATTATCTCAACTTTGCTAGGATCAGGCAAATAGAATGGTGTAGACTGTAACAGTTCTCTGACCTGTAAGTTTATACAAGGTCCAGAGTTCATTTTAGTGCTCTGTAAATGTGTATATCATGTTAAATCATATTGTGTATTTTCTTTAATTATCCTGCTGTGCCATTATATGTCACATAGGGCTCACACTCTATTTCTCCATTCTGCTCTATCCTGTGCCATCAGTTCAATATCATGGATGGAATCCAGTCCAGCAGCTTTGGCCTTGCTCATCAATGTTTATCTTAGGGTTTCTCTCAGGCGTCCTCACTTCCTTAGTCCCTATACTTCCCATTTTAATGCTTCTTTGGTGATTCTCTTTTGATTTCTTCTCAGGATGTGTCAAATGCAGCACCATCTTCTCTGTCTTTATAACTGTTGATACTAGCGGTTGCCCAGATATTTCTCTTCTTCATTCCTTCTGAATTTATCCCATTTTTTTTCAGCATTTTCCTCAGATATTTGTTTTCAAATGCATTTAACTTTAGTTCCCTGTCTTTAGTGGTTCTCACACTTCTACTTCCATATGTTAAGATAAAATAAGTTAGAACTGAAAATATGTAACTTAGCTTTAAAACTATAAAATTTAGAGTTCTATATTTTGTTCAAGCTAATAAAAGCTGCTGATGTCTTGCCATTGTGTGTCCTAATTTCTTTCTTAGTGTTTCCTTCACTATCAAACTTATTTCCTAAATAAGTAAATTGATCTGTTACTGGACATGGAACAAAGAATACTGTTCACAATGTTTCAGCATGTGATCCTGTTGGTGACAGATTCTGGTCTTGTAATGCTTACCGTATCAAAGAGTCAGCTGATGAGACTTGGGTGTATGCGATTGGTTCTGGGATGGATTCCTGTAGTATGTGTGCAATATATACTTGTGCTGCCTCCTGTTGCAGATAGGTTCATGGTTCTGTAGGCGAGGTCATATCTCATAGTGGCTGCAGACTGGAAACAACCTCTCCATGAAGCTCTGGGCAGAGCTAAGGGCCACAGACTGAAAAGAGGAACGTCCTGGATGGCACAAGCTGAAGACACAATTAGACATGTGTGCAGGCTTGATAATTTTTGGCGAGGAGAGAAGTAGGTCTAAGTGTCCAAGCAAGTTTCAGACTATTTTTTCTTCTTGTCTGCGTTTGGTTTTATATGCTCAGATCAGACCATTAGGTAGGTTGCCTCTATAAACTCGCATATCAGCAGCAGGTCCTCCATGGTTCCCAATAGCTTGCTCTGTACTTTCATCTTGAGGCTAGGTTTCTTTTCAAAGTTATAGGTAGAGTGGGCAAGTCTGCAGAATGTGCTCAGGCGTTTGTGGTCGTGTCTGACAAGCACACTGTGGGGACTGTACAGTCTTTTTTTTTAATGCATGTTTAGTTGAGTCTGCAGTGTCCTGTTCATAGACAGAAAATTGTTGTATGCTGCTTTCTGTTGAGTCTGATGATGTGGTCTTGTGGATATTTACTGTTTGTTCTCTCCAAAACAATCACTTGTATTTTCCCTCGATGAGTGTTTTGATTTCTGATAAGGACAATGAATGGGTGGGTTGTTTCTCCTTCGTTCCATTTTTTAGAAGTCTGTCTGCTAACTCATTTTCTGATAGTGAGTTAGAATCCACCGGAGAACAATTTGATTGGTTTCTGAGAGCTTGTTTAGCAGGCGGGTCAGTTCTTTTTCCATGTTGTCTCGTGAATCCCTCTGAGTTACCTGGAGTACTGACATGCAGTCACAAAGGAAATCAATTTAGCTGTTTTTAATTTGTATTGCTTGCTGCTCTGCTCATAAGTTTATTGAGAGTCTTCCGGAAGCACATGATGTTTCTACTATGGTCCGCTCTTAAAGCATGATGCCTGATCCAGCTCCTCTATTTTTGTGTGCTCCCTCCAATGATCCAATAAGTGTAAACGTGTGTCCATTCAGGTTTTGGGTAAGAGTTGTAGGCATGTTCAAGAGTTCTTTCATGCAGTACTAGATCCTATTCTTCAGCCTTTCTGTCTATGCATGGGATTGTTGTTGTGACTGTATAGTTAGGTTGTAGGTCTATGCTGTATGCCTGGATCATTTCCCACGTTGAAGTGTTTTTAGAATGGATGTCACTGTTTTTGGTGTTGTACAATTTTGATAGGTGGTGGAAGCTTTGTCTTTTCAGTCGATTGTTAGTTAAGCTGTTTGCTATTCTGTGAATAGTGTTGTTCATTGTTGTTCAGTTTAATTTACTTGATACTTCAGTGACCATAAAAATGATCTTTATCCTTAGTGTCATTAGATGGAGCATAACAGTGAATGATGGTCTTTTAATATGTCTTTATTAAACCTAGCTCTAATTATTCTTCTTGAAATAGGCTCCCATTCTAGCTGAGATTTTGCAGCTTTAGGTGTCATCTGATGAGAGAGGCCAAAGTTGTAGGACTGGATTCCATTCATGATACTGAACTGATTGCACAAGATAGAGAGGGATGGGGGAATAGACTGCAAGCTCTGTTTCAAATAATGGCACAACGAGGATAATGAATATTAACCTAAAAGTTATAAGTAATTACTTTTTTTTTTTCAAAACATTATGCAGTACACATCATCATCATAAAATGACTCACCGACTGCAGCAGATGATCATTCTTCTCCACAAACGTCAGCAGTATGTATCAACCCTTGTGATGAGATCATCTCTGTTACCATTAAATCTTTCCACACGTTCCAGTTTTTTTTTATTTTCATGTGATCAAAAATGATCATGTTAATGATAAATTGTTTTGAGATCTTGGCTTCTTTAGAAACACTTAATCACTCATTCGAGCTGTCCAGAGATTTAAGCAGTCTTCTGCAGAACTTATTTAAAAAAAACATCATAAATATTTCTTATAGTCTTATTCATATTATTTAAGATTGTAAATATTGTTATCTATAATTACTGAGAAAATAATCAATGCATTTTTGAAATACTCTTTAAAAAAACATTATAAACAAAAGACAAAACATTCAATGTATAGCTCACCACATTTATGATCTTTTCTGAAGCTTTCCTAGGTAACAGTCGGAGACCTGCAGTTGCTTTGAAAGTAATAAGTGTTGAAGGCTGGTACTGTCTTGGAACACGCTCTATAGCTCTGTGCAACAAAGGGTGAAGAGTCTCCACTGCCTGATAAAAGATGTAATCTAAGTAGACAAGTGACAATAAATGTAGTGCAGATTTCTAAATGGTAACTTGCATTAACAAAAATAGGAAGATAATCTTAAATTAAATACTGATATATAGTTATATACACAGAAGTGAAATGTAAGATCGTTATCATGTTTAAAAACTGATGACGGAAGGAAGGATGTAGAGCACACTTAAACAGCAAAAATAAAAAGAACTATTCAAACCGGTGTTTGCAGATTATCAGGAAATAGTTCTGAAAATATAACATATGTACCATTAAGAAATTACCCTGTAACTGCTTTCTGCTACTGTATACTCAGACCATTGTGATCTTCAGCTGAACATATTAATTCTCCATATGATAAGACCAATATTTTCTTTGGTGAATATTGCAGGGTATAATAACCATGTCCCATCTCTGTTTTGAGTACTTAAGTTTTCAACCCTCATGATTATATCTCATGATCACCTACTGCTGGAACATAAGACATCCTCTTTTTCTTTGGCATTCTCTGCCCTTGATGTTCATTGCTGCAGATATCACCTGCCTCCATTCATCTCTCTGGTTGGCATTCTCTTTCAAGCAGTTGACACCAAGTGTTTGTAGGTCTACCTGGATATTATATCTTCACTGTCTTGCTTTAATTTATATTTTTCCAGACAAATCTGAGACTAGTTTAAGAGCTTGAAAAGTATATGTATTTATACATTTCCATTCTATATCTGAAAAGAATGTGAAAACATGTTACTATCCTACTCCATATGTGTGTGTAGTGTAACAGTATATGAAGGCTGGAGGCATTGTGGCCTCCAGTGAGAACTTTCCCAACTGCTTGTACGGGGACTGTTTAATTGTTCTAGTTCCAGGTGGAGTTCCAGCATAGCTGCAGATGCCCGACTGTCTAGACTGGACTACAAGATTCAACCTGCATGAAGTGTCTCCGAGGCCAATTCAAAAGCACCACCAGATGAGTGGACATATTAACCCACTCTGTCAACCAATAGATAGTATTCAGTCCCATTATTAAATTTCCAATTTAAAAAAAATGATTGTTGTAACTGTCCTTCTAGTTTTATGGAGTTCATTTTAACCATTGTTATTTGTGCTAGTGAACAGTAGCTAGTATATTTTAGGACATATAAATATACAATTTATTTTAACAGTAGGGAATCAGATGTGGGCAAACCCTGAATTCTGTCCTTTTACCAGCAAGGCTGGGAAAAAGTTAACCTTGTAGGATGTTTTAATGTTTGCAATTCCCTCTGTAGATTGCACATAGTGCATTCGCTAGATTAAAGCGAATTTACCCACCACAACATCTCCACACAGTTTGTCCTCAAAAGGAGCGGGTGTGAGCCAGAACAATTTTCTCTGCTATGCATATGTGGGACACTCACAAGTGTTTAGCTATCATTTTACTATTTCACAATCATAATAATCAGTATCTCCTCTCTTTAACTTATTGAACAAGTTGTGTTTGGCCTATTATGTCATGTGTGGAGTTTAAAGATATTTTCTTTGGTCAAGCTGGTAGTATGCATAATCCTTCTTGTGGCCTGGAAGTTCAGAATCCCACTCGGTACTGTATGTACTTCTTATAAACATCTTGACGTCAGCATATAGTATGTCTATATCAGGCTGGGGTAGTCGCTCACTTTTGGTTGCCTATTTGTTAGCCACTTCATTTCCAGGTATGTTGCAATGGGATGCAAACCATTGTATTACAACTCTTTTTTAAGTTCTGACTCGGTCTATGGAGTGCAGTTCTTAGGTCTACTAGTTCCGTAGCGTTTACTTTTCAGTACTGTTACCACTGAGTTTGCATTTGTAAAGACAGCTATATGTTACTCATTATTTTTTTTTCTTGACATAAGCATTTCTGCTGCAATTTCCAATGCCTATGCTCTAAAATTACTTGAGAATTTTCCAGTTGCAACCGACTTTGTTTTCTTTGATCGATTTTTGTTTAGATTCAGGACATTATTCCACCTTTATTTTCTGTTTGAGTTTTTTTTTTTTCCTGATCTATCTGTATGTGCACAGGACCAGGTGTTACATGAGTAATGTCCTTTTATGTAGTTTAAGATAGCTTTCCTTCTTTCTTTTTTATTCTGAGTTCTCTTTTTCTAAGTACCAGGAGTATTTTCTATCCACTAACTCAGATGCTGCTGTGTCCAAGCAGGGAATCTGTGTGTATTGTGCATGGTTTTGGCCATTGATATGTTAAGTATAGGATCTTCCCTGGATTTTGTTTTTGTAGTCTCTACAAACTTTTTTCACTTTAAACTTCCTAATCTTTTGATACACGGGGTGATATTTCAGCCTTCTACATTTGCTCTGCTTGTTGCTGGGTTCTGCTGTCTCTTCTATCCACCATGGGTTGCAGATATGTGATATTTTCTAGTTCGTTAATGGGCAGTGTTTTCATAGCTCCAGTTTTAATCTGCATTCCTTGATTTTGCACTTATTTTAATAAAGTTTGACTTAGCTACAGTTGTACATGGTATTCATGGACTGGCCTTACTCGTCCAGTATACAGCAACTTGAGAATTAACTCATCAGCTTCCCATGTTGTGCCAGCAATTTTCTACATTACTGCTATTCTTGGCATTTTTCTTGTTAGACTTGCCTCTACTACACAAAGTATTAGAATAGTATCAAGTTATATTTTCTTTAAACTTAACTCACCTTAATTGGATTATTTGCATAACATGAAATTCCTGGTTCAACAGACTGAAAGACTTCTTCCTCCAAAACTACCTTAGAGATAGCTGGAAATAATTAATACAATATGGGTAGAACTTTTAAATGTAGTTTTACACCTAAGCTGGTGCCAGTTGGTCAATAAAAAATATGGGGCTAGAATAATTTTTCCAATATACCTTCAAGTACAGAAACAGATACTTTACTTACAAATTCACACACATACAAGCATGCATACAGGTATATACCGCCGATATATTCAAGCCAAATAAGGTATTCCCACATGTAGACACATATATGCACACACAGATATACTATCTTACAAAAGAAAGTTAACACTTTTGAAAAGCATATTTTCTGAAGACCACTCAAATTTGATGTAACTTTCAAGTGTTCATTAATTTCTTAAGGTTGGTGAAGCTGTGGACAGTGCTCAATTTTAATTCAGCCCAAACAATATTTTCTTGCTGTTAAATCACATGGAATGTGTTTTAAAAAGATAATCTCTAACCTCCAAATAAGCTTTGAATTAGTTTTTTCTCACTTTTTGCGAAGGCTACATCCTCACGCCAAATTTGTCATTGTTAAATATTAATTAACTGTTGTGTAACCACTAAGCCAAAGCTTAAAGAATCAGATCCTTGGCTACCTTAATGCTGTACAAGAATTACAAATGTTTTGCGGATGTTTTGAGTTTCCTAATTAACAATTTATCAATGTATCTGGATGACTGGCATCACCAGAAACCTATCAAGATTAGCGGTGTCCACACACAGTCAGCAAAGATTTATTGGCACAGTTCATTTATGGAACTGTTTGTAGTTTGCTCAAAGGACAACAGACACTATAAATGCATGACCAAATAACAGACACGCTTGTCTAAACATGGTTTTGCACCATCTGACAGAAGCAAAATATGCTCGCACTGGTTTGACCGGCGACCTTGACTTCAGCAACACCACAACCTAAATAGACTTCAGTGGGAAAATGTACATATCAGATGGCCTCAAAGCAAATGACAGTCTCTCATGTTCTTAGACAAGTTAAGATTCATGATAAAAAGGCAAAATCAGGGTGTACAGATGTCCATATGAACAAAATGCTCATAACTGCATCTATGAAGCTTTGTAATTTGGTGGAGAGATAATAAAGATTTTTACAACGCAGCTGGTCAAAATTAGGGGGAACATCACCGTGCACCTGTACAAAGAGGATGTCCTGGCTTCACATTTTGTGTCTTTTTTCAAAATTCACACTTTAGTTTGTGCATGACAATGCAGACCCTCACTGAGGACAAGTAATGACTGCTTTTCTCTTGCAGAACAATGTTAAAATTATTTGTCAATGGTGAGTAATTTAACATGACCTTAATCCTATTAAGCACATATGGGTCATGCTTGTCCAGCTTGTCTTAAACCTGCCAAATCCACCTCAAAATTGTTTACAGTCTAACAATGAACTAGTTTATGCTTGGTATAATCCTCCTTCCACAAGCTGCAGTTTAAAATTGAACCCATTCAACTGGACACTGCTGTGTTGCTGTAACTGATGCTGGAGAGAGGCACACTCCTTTTATGCGATGTGACTTTTTCATTTTGACACCCCCATCACTGTAGTGCCTTGGTTAAGTTTACAAAGCAAATCTCTTCAGAAATTCCATATAAAAATACAAATAAATGCAGTTATTGAAGAAAATATGAAAAATGTTAAATTTCTTTTGCAAGATATATACATATATATTGTACTTTGGTTTGACGTTGTCGATGAAATTACAAAATTAATTACTAGAAATTAATGGCTATAAGAGCCAAAAGATATTAATGAGGCAGTAATAGAAGCATATCACTATGGGAAATTTTGGAATGCTATGAAATGCCAACAACAAAATTCATAATTCCATTTAAATCACCACTGATAACTGGCATCATGAAAGCGAATAGACTGAAATGGTTGGAGCATATTGAAAGAATGTCAGATGACAGAGAAGTAAAAACTGTATAAACGAGGAAGATGAATGGTCATAGACCACAAAGCAGACCAAGAAAACGATGGAGAGATAATATCCAGACCTGAAAACACTTGGTGCCACCAACTGGAAAGAGAAGGCCAACCAGAGAGATGATGGAGGTGGGTGATATCTGCAGCAGTGAACCTCAAGGGCTAAGAATGCTGAAGAAGAAGAAGATGAAATGCCAACTAACATAATTGTCACATCCATTTTCATCTTTTTATTTTGTTCACTTGAAATAGAGTATCTATATGTGCAATGTTGTCTCTTGTATGAACTTCACTGTCTTTTGTATTTTACTCAGCGACCCGTAAAGTTTGACTTGCACAGATGTTTCTACTGGCCAAAAGTTTTGCCTTGATACGTTGTATTTGGGACAATCTTAGAGTATATGATCTGTTCTCTCAGGTGCAGGTTTACATGTGCACATGGCTGATTCATCGATTTTAAATGTTGTGTACATGTGGCTACAAAATCTATTGTGTCCTGTTCTAAGGCAAAGAATAATAACTTGCTCTGGTCTGTCACTAAAATGGTAATTGTCCTGTGCCAGTTTTGGTGGCTTCCTGATTGATTTGATTATTCTCTTCTTGTGTTAATAAGAGACAGGTAGGTCAGATTGTTCTTCGGTTGCACCTTAATTAATTTATCAGCTTTTTCATTTCCAGGAACTTCACAGTGAGATGGTATCCACTGCATAGTTACCTTACACCAGCTGCCTAATTTGGAAAGTAGTGTTTGTATACTAGGTAGTTTTCCAGACTGGAGTGCCTGAAACACTGCTCTTGCATCTGTCAGAAATATCATGGGTTATGAAATATGATGTATTTTTAACAGGTTCTCTGCTACTATTTTGATGGCTTGAACTTCTGCATCATAGTTGTGACAGTGCTTTCCTGTAGGTATTTTGGCTGTATATCTGGTATTATTTGGATGTTCAATATACACTCCTGCTCCTCCATTTCTGATTGCGTTTTGTGCTGACCCATCCGTATAGACACGAACCCAAAGATTATGTGGGTATTTGTCTTCAAGTAGAGCAAGGGTGGCTGATTTATGCTGCACATTGTTTTGTTCTTCTTTGTCGAATACTCCTTTCACTTCTGTCTGGATGTGTATTGGCAACTTTTAATTCTCTTTCCATGGGGTCTGGTCTGGAATAGCATTTAAGGGGCTATCAGTTGCAGGCAGATTATTGGTTTGCCTGCAGAGTCATTTGGCCTGGTGGATGAAACTGCTTCTTTTTAGTCACGCCGTTGCTAGATTTTGGAATCTTTCTTTCACAGGGTGTTCAGGCATGCTTAGATACTTTTTTGCTTGTATTAGTATCTTAGTGTCTCTTAGTGTTTGAGTCATTGCCATCTTCTCCATCACAGCTATAAGTGTTAGTTTCATCCCACCTGTTATGACTCTGAGCACCTTGTCTTACTTTTGTAGAGTGGTTTTTGTTGCTGAACTCCATGCAGTAGACCCTTGTTCAAGGTGTAATCGTACACTTTGTTGATAAACTTTCCTAAGTATTTCCCTATGTTGTTCCACTTAGTTTTCTTAGGATAGCTATCTTCCTTCTGGCTCTGGTTTCTGCCTTATTGATGTGTTTTTCCATGTTAACCTATCATCAAACATGACTCCGAGGTATGTCAGCTCCTTATCCTCTCTTAGTGGTATTCTATTTATCTGAACGATGCCTTTTTCTGTTTGGGGAGAGGGTAAAGAGAGTGGTGTTACACTTTTCTATGTTGATGCTGACACCATTTATCAGCCCATGCAGCCATTGCATCTATGGATCTTTGTAGCAGTCAAGTGGCCACTGTTGCACATTTATTTGTGAAGCAAGAGTACCAAGTAGTCAGCATACATTGCAGCTTTAATACAGGTCAGCAATTAGGTCATTGATGTAGACCAGAAACAGTGTTGGGGACAAAACAGCAACTTGGGGAACACCATGGCGCAGCAAAACTTTCTTGCTATTGAGTACGTCTATCTGTACTCAGGCTCTTCAGTTATACAAGTATTATTTAATCAATCTGTACATATTCCCATTCACTTTGTAGTTTCTTTATGAGACCTTCTTTTCAGACTGTAATGATGCTAAAAATAAGGATAACGTCAGGGTATGACTGACAGAATTGGGTAAGTCCCTGATAGCATGGTTTTCATGGAGATATGGTGAAAAGACAAGAGTGAGTGAGTCACGGGTGAATGCGAGATCTGGGGGATTAAGAATGAGGTGGCGATTCGGTGACTGGGCACCAGATTGGAAGGATGTAAAGCTGAATCTGTGAAGCTGAATCCAGAGTGAGAAGTGCACACATGGATCTGAATTAGAGTAGAGTAAATGTTAGTGTTGAACGAGAAGAGATGCTGCGCTACTGAATGATGGTTGAGGCCAGCGGTAGTGTTTGACTGTATGTTTGTTGTGCCAGCCGTGTACATGCCATTGTCCATCGTCTGAAGCATGGCTAGAGACTCAATGTGTGAGCAAGGCAAGACTGCCCAAATGGCATAAGTTAGTTTATCTGTTGATTCGTGTCGCTTGTGTTACATTGACAATAAACCTGTGAAATGCGTCAGCTGTTGTCGACCGTCATTTTTTAAAGTTGTGTGGCCGTGGAGAGAAGTGCCGTCTGGCTAGAATGAACTGTGACACTACACCTAGACAACAAAGTCAGTGCTGAATCTGCACAAGAGAGATTGAGTGTGGAGGAGACACAATACATTGGGTGCTCGTCCTAACTGTGGCATTAAATAGGAAAGAGAGGCATAGTGTTGTTGTGTACAGACTAAAAGTTTAGACAAACACCGGCAGCCGTAAGCGGAGAGTGATTATGTGTCACGGATGATGGAGTTTAAAGTGTCGAAGGGTATTATGTAAGACCAGGACATGCTGTTGAGGGGCATTATGTAAATCCAGGACAACTGAAGTTTGGACTCTATTCATTCTCAAACCGACAAATTTGCCGGGGAAAAATGTATAGAAACACAGAAAGTGAATATTGGGTTATGGATCACTTCACGTGTTAGAAATTTCACACGTTTTATCCCACGATGTGGGAACGT